AACAATTAAAAAGTTAAGAAGGAAACAAAAAGTTCAGAACACATTCTGTCCAGCAGCCTACACCCAGATAAGCAGGGATTAACAACAGATAAACTATCAAGCAGAAAACAATACCCTAATCAAGGTACTACCAAGGAGAAAACCACACCCCCACCAACACTGGCAGGGCAAACTACTGTATGTAAAAAGGGAGCAAACCCTACATGTTACCTAATCAGCTAATGAGATGTCTGCAAGCAAACAACCATGCTCAGAGAGCACCAAGGACTCCATAGTTCAACCCTGAGCTACATATAGGAACCTGATTTCCTTTATAAGAAATTCAATTCTAAGTGGAGTTCCTGATTTATGACTTGCTTGTTTAAAATCTGTTGGAGCTTAATTAGACTGTGAAAAAATGTTTCACTGTTTGGAACTTTTTAGATTAGAAAAAAGGTGAGCAAAGGAGGCGTAAAAATTAGCCATGGGGTAGAGCAAGGGGTAGTGAGAAGTTTTCTCTCTTTGCAGATCTCAATAGTAGCAAATTGAGAATAAATGTAAGTGGTTCTCCACACAGTGCATAGTTAAGGTAAAGAATTCATTATCACAAGACATAGTGATGCCTACTAAGATTGACTACTGCTATGAAGAGCAATTCTGCATTTTTTCTACAAAAAATTTCATTCAGTTTGATGAAAGAAATTTTGGTTTTAAATTTTCTTTAATGAGGGAAGAAACGTTCAGTGAAATTCTCATTGCAGAACTCCCCATTCTTCCTTGGATCTTTTTCAGTGCTAGTTTATTGTATTTAAATGTACTGATTATTACAACTATTTATTTTTTTCTTTTCTTTTTATTTAAAACAAAGATGTATTTTTTAAAAAAGGGGTACTATCTATGAGTGGATAGATAATTAGTGAAGTTATAAAATTAATGTTCAATATAACATTAGTAAAAGATACCAGAGTACATTGAGTTGTTTTCATGATATAAAAAAGAAGTATAAATTTTTGAGCTTAATGTCAAAATCTCTATATATTGTTATTGATAACTGTTTATTTTTTAAAATACTCCAACATTGTTGGGGTAATTGTACTACTGACAGTAAAGGTGATGGCAAGGTTCCAGAAAATCTGGATTCTACATTCCCATCGGAGAAACATTTAAGACACAGCAAGTTACCATCTGTCCTATAGTAACCTTTCTTTTGAAGAGGCTTGTTATAATAACATAGATAGTCTGGTCCTCAAAAGGTGAAAGACAAACATTCCTATAGGGCAAGACATGCCCAAGAACTTTAACATGCTTAAAATAGTGTTTTGGACTCCAGCTAATCTAAAATCAACCTTTCACAAACAAGTTCCACCTAAATGTGTAGGATGACACTTCCCAGAATTTTTGGAAATTGGAGTCCAATGCATCTAGAGTCAAGAAAAGCTGCTATGATCTAGTGGTCAAGAAAAGCCACTGTGAGTTATCATCCATGCCTTTGATGATATCTCAATAAATCCTAAATATTTCAGTGAAGTACACACCCAAGCTACAGCTTAAACAAACCAATTCTGATTTAAAAATTACACATTATACTACATCTTGAGTGAAGATCCCTGTAGAATTAACAGCAGTAAAGTGCTTTGCAAATTCACATATATTATCCCACTGTTTCTTTATCCTATGTAAGTTCATCTCAAAATTTAAAGCATCATCCTGTCCAGTTGTAACAGTTATATGGCCTAAATACAAGCTACTTCAAACTACAATATTGATTGTATTGGACATTGCCATAGCTGGCAACATAATCAGCTTGCATAGCAAACCAAGTTGTCACTAATGAAAAATAAGCCATCTGTTAAGGTTAGAAGTGTCTTGCATGTTGTTAATATCAGCTGCAGACAAGCAATTACAGGCCAGCATTCTGCAATTATGCATCTCTTTCTAACTTCCAATTAGGAGATTTAATGTTACTTCAAATTCTTGTGTAAATTATATTTTGAATAACTAACTCAGCAGTATTGTAGAATTAAACTGCTGTTTGCAGCAGTTTCATTTCTAACAGGACTCTACTAAAAGATTGGTATGTTAATTAAAAGTATGGTCACATTTTCACCTCCGGCATTGTTTAAGCTGATGAGAAAGCTCAGGATTGTTCCATATGAAAATGAAATGTATTTCTGACATTGGAAAATATGAAAATACATGTATTTCTGACATCGGAATGATCCATGGTCAGCTGGTTATGGCATCTTCCAGGAAGGGCAAGAGTCCACAAGATCCACCAGCCCTGTTATAGACTTTTATACTGATTTGGAATTTTACCATACTTGGAATTCATACAAATTTTATTTTCTCTGACTGTCATTGTCATTGGAGGGATTCTCTATAGAAAAAAAAAATATTTTAGGAGGCTATGATGTCAGAATATTCTGTGAAAGGAGGTAAGATGGCCCACCAACAGAAATTTCTTTTGATCTTTTGTGAACTGATGGATTATCACCTGCCAATGTAACAATAAGAATTTTCTAAAATACTTGGACCAATATGTATAATTCTGTGGTAAGATGCTGTTATAACATACTGAAGGTTCTTTTCTCTTCTTTTAGGTCAGTAAATTGGAGAGGGAGAAAAATCAAGAAACTAAGCAGATTAAGGAACACGAGCAACATAAAAACACAGTCCTTGTAACGGAACTCAAGGCTAAACTTCATGAAGAAAAAATGAAAGAGCTCCAGGGTGTTCGTGAAGGACTTCTAAGACAGCATGAGGCTGAGCTTCTTAGAGTTATAAAAATTAAAGATAATGAAATTCAAAGACTACAAACCTTACTTAATGCTGTACGAGATGGGACGCCTGACAAGGTTAAGACGGTGCTTCTTTCAGAAGCGAAAGAAGAGGCCAAGAAAGGATTCGAAGCTGAGAAAATTAAAATGCAGCAGGAAATTTCAGAACTTAAGGGGGCTAAGAAACAAGTAGAGGAAGCTTTATCCGTAGTCATTCAAGCCGACAAAATAAAAGCAGCAGAGATACGGAGTGTTTATCACCTACATCAAGAAGAAATCACCCGAATAAAGAGAGAGTGTGATCGGGAAATTCGCAGGCTGGTATGCAGTTTTCGATCATTCTGATGATTTTAACAAGGGGAAGTGATGTTCTTTCCATGTTGTTTACACTAAAAATAATTTAAATGTAGATGGCCAAGCATCCTCCTTTTGGACACCTAATCTAGACAGATTCTTCAGATACTACTTCATTAGTATCTTTATCCAATACTAACAAAAAGCTCATTAGATGAGGTTATCTCTGAAATGGATGCTCTGTGACCTTTTGTCACAGACTGTGGCTGGCTGAAATATCTGATTCTGGTTGTCGATTGCTTTGTTGCCATGTCATCCGTTCCAAAGTTATTCATTCCATCTGGGATATGAGCTTCACACAACAATGGGTTAGTATTCTGTAGAAGCTGGGGTTTCTTAAAGTCAGATTTCCAAGCTTGAAGAATAGGCATGTGGTATTATTGTAAGGATTTCTTGCATTTCTTGTATTATATATCGATTACATAAATGATGACATTTCTTCTTCAGTCTGCGGGGTGTGGAGATATTGACATATCTTCTGTATGACCAATACCGCCTGTGCAAATTATTGGGTGTTTTACTGTTCTTATCATGGAGTAAAAGAAATGGTGTGCAGTATTTGAATATAAAATGGGAAAAGGGCTTCAGATCTGGCTTGGGGACATTTGCTTTACTCGTCAGAGGCTTCTTAAAGGAGTGTCACTGATAGCACATCTGGAAATAAAATGTTATTATTTTATAAGGCATTAAAGACCTGTTAATCACTGCTGAAAGGCTGCAAAGCTATATATATTTCTATCCTTGGAATTGTTCTCTTCCATTCTATCTATAGTGAGTTGATTAAGTTGGCAAAACTACATATAGAACAGAGTGGTCTCTAGATCCAGTATAGTGCAGTTAAGTATATTCAGTTCAAGAGTTTCAAAATGATTTCGCAAGCTAATGTAAAAGATGTAACTCTCATGGAATTCACTGGAACTTACTTGTTAAAGTATGGCTGTTGGATGGTGGCCACTGAATTCAAGCTGTGTGGTTTCATATGTGATGTATTCTAAAAATATAAAGCACTTACATATAGCATGTAGCTAGACTAGTTTTATGCAGCTAAATCCACATCTGTGACTTTTTCCTATGTTATGCTGCACATTTAAGTTGTACACTGCTTTCCAGTTAGTAAAATAAGTGATTTATAATTACTCTTACTTTCTTTCAATTTCAATTTCCAGATCTTTGTATTATATAACTTTGCATAAACAGTTCAAAGTACTTTTGAAAGATTTAATGTGATAACTTTGGATAATAAGTGCATGATTTTTTTGTGTGTTCATTTTTTCTACCTCCCCAACAGGTATTTGATTTTCAGACTTTCAGTTAGGTCAATCATACTCATTTATTAGAAAAATGTTGCTCATTTTAGGAAACAATTTTATTTCTAATGCATTGGGTGGCTCTAGCTAGGATAGAAATAGTATAGTTTCTATAAAGGGAGTTTTCAAAAATGTTTTGAAAATCATCTCCTTCATCAATTTTTCTGCAAATTTGCCAACTAACATCACCAGCATGGATTGCCATAAATACATTCTTATGGCTCTAAAATAAAAAGAGAGAGGGAAAGAAAGAGGCTTGTTCTGAATTCCTATTGCTTCATTTGATTGGAACATTCATAACATGTCATGATTTGTTTCAGTGAAACAGGAGACATAAAGTTGTTTCAAGTTTTTTTCTGTTGGAACACAATTTGGAATATTCAGAAGAAATGCTTTATATCCACTGTTTTATTTCAAGTCCAAAACAAAATACTTTTTCTGTCACATACATGCTCTTTATCCTTATTACCCAATAAATAACACATCTTTCTACTTTTCATATGAGAAACGATCTCAAAGATAATTATACTTAATAACGCTTGTGATTAGTTTATAGTTTTTACAGTCTAACCTCTCCAAATATTCTATAGAATAAAGCCCCATTCTGACATTTGTCTGAACAAATGGAGAGCTCAAAGTAGGAAGAGGCAGGTCTACCCATGGAGCCCTGCTTCTATTGCCTTATGGTTAGAAACAGATCTGAAGGAGAGATGAATTTGTGCTCAGCTTAAGCATGATCTGGGACCCTTGCTGTATTGGGGATCTTGCTAACATTACAAACTGTGATTTTGTTCAAGAAAATGTATGCACAGTTCACCTTCAGACTTCTTCCCTGATTGCATGGAGCTTAGAAGGAGATGGGGCATGGAGCTACACATGAAGTATTCTCTCCCCACCTTCAGTTCTTTGTGTATTTAAGCCATAGTTGGAATAGCAGAGGGTTGAATGTTTTCCTTATCACCCAACATTTAGTTCAAAGAAAGAATCCAAAATCATAAAAAGGTGAGAATTCAGGATGCAAGGTATAGTTAATAAAAGGCCTCACTACTTACTTACTTATTTTTTATTTATATATCAAATTTATCACCGCCCATCTCATTGAAACGGCTCTGGTCGGCTTACTTAGTTCTATTCCACTATTTTGCAGCTATAAAAGGAATAATCTTGACCATTGGGAATCAAATCAGACTAAAGATTTTATATTTACACAGAGTTAGAGTAGCTATGTTGTGTTAACCATTTCTTTTGCTCTGTATTGATCAGTAGCCTAAGTTTTGCATATATTACTGTATGTAACATTAAATTTAACATTAGCCTATACAATACTTAATGCTGTCTAGCACTCTTGTGGGATACTATTAGCAATAAGCCATTCTTCCCAAAATGAATTATTTGTGTAGATCAATTTTTGATACACAATTCAGCAAATTCATTATCTTTATTGAGCCTTTTGCTGTTTTTCATGATAAAACTGACATTGACAAATACATCCTCAGTGTCATATTAAATGATCCAGTTTTTCATTTTGATAGGGCTGCTCAGGGGCATGAAATATCCAGAATGGATACTGAAAATTAAGTATATTCACCAAAGTAAAATATACGACTTGGATAGCTATAGAATATGGATTTTATAAATCAAATTAAATCTTTCTTTGTCCAGTTTGTGAAGTGCAAAAACAAAAGGGAAAACTGTGACTGGTACATTGTCTCTGCTTTCATAGTTATTTTCTACATGAATGGAATTTTCAGAATGAAATGGTCTCCAGGCAGCCTAAATGTAGAAATAGCAACGTACAAGGAAGGAAACAAAGAATAAGCTATGCTCTGTCCCATCCCTGTTTTTTTCACCCCCCTCTCTTCATAATCATTATCATCAAGTTGAAGTAGAGAGGCCATCCAAGAAATCTCCACAATGTCATATCCTGGGATCTACATTGTGAGGGTGAAACTGTGACAGTGAAAGCTCTCTACTTCAGAACTTTGCCTACAGCTAACATGGAAATTCTTACTCTGTCTCCTCTGATATTGCCTGCTTTAGAATGCTTGAAGAAGGTTAATTAAAACTAGCCATATCTTTCAAGGTAGCAGAAAAACTTATTGATCAATATTGCTATGTAGTTTTAAAGGATTGTAGTGGCTTGGATGTGAAGTTGGCAGGAACATCTCCTCAACAAATGATGGTGCTGTTCCCATCAGCACCAAAGGAGCAGAAACAGTTTCTGTGTCATCTGGATGATCCATAATTTGGACCTGAAATGCTTCATTTAGTCTAGTTAGGTCAAAGGAAAGTCTCCCTCATGTGAGGTTCAGCTCCTGATAACTACAAGGACATGTACTGTGTTCTTGGGAATGGCACAGAAATGGTTTGCCATTGCCTTTTGTCAAAAAGGTTTTTCCAACTTCCCAGTTTAGCCTACAATTCTGGGAACTGCTGGGAGTCTCCCATCAATGTATTAAGTCAGCTAACCTTGCTTGGCTTTTCAAGATTAGCTAAATTTGGCTAAGTGCTGCCTCCTAATAAGAGAAGGGTTTATTTCAGTTTGCCCTATGACCAATATAATAACTTCCCAGTTTGGATATGGTACTAAAGCATCTTTTTTTTCCAGTATTTCCTTTTTTCCCAATCAACTCCTTTTTGTAACTGCAGATCTGGCATTGATTTAATAAAGGAATTTTAATTAAAAACATCTCCAAGTGCAAAGACTGTGCAATACCCAACTCTTGTGTTTCAGGATAGGCATGAGGTTTGATAAGTTTGGCTTTTTCAGATTTGAACAGGAAGCTCCAAAGCCCCTTCCTTTCCATTTTTCCTAGGGTTAGATGAAGGGAGAACTCTGTTGAGTAAGGGCTAAAAACTCCCCTGCTGGGCAGACCTGGGTGTGGTGGGAGATTCAGTCTGACTGGTAGTTAAGTATTTTTACTGGGAAACTCTTCAAGGTTCTGCCACTGAATAGTTCTCCCCATCATAGGTTATAACAACCAGGTATCAGAAAATCCCTTCATATACCACAAATCTTTTAATATTTAAGTGACTAGCTGAAATTAGAATTTCAGTTCTTGTAATTTATAGCTCTCATTACTGAGTCTGTCCTGTGAACAGTCTTTGCCCTGTAGAGTAGTGGAATAAAACATGTATATTCTTTAGTGGCCTACGTTGTGGAAGCCCCAAAGTGCTATATACGCAACATATCTCTACCCCCAAAAAACTCATTCTTTAATCTCAGAACTACCAGTGGTGTGATAGTCTCCTGGCAAGAGTTTTAATAAATGGCAATTCACAAACTATAATTTAGATTTGGATATATAGTTTAATGCTTTGCTGAAATCTGTCTTGCAATTTCTCCAAAGCATTTTTATATTCTTTTGTTATCTTTGTTATCAGGCTGCTTGAGAATTTGTTTTGAATTTCTCTGCATGGGTAACAGAAACAGAAAATGTGTTTTGTTTTCAACCTGAAACAAGCACATTGTGTTTGTAATGGTATGTGGAGTGACTTTGGGAGGCAGGAGGAAGAGCTGCAGCCTAGACAACCATCATACAAAAGGTATCTCAGCCCACAAAAGCAGAAAGGGTGTGGGAAACATTTCAGAAGGCACCCTTCCTAGTTTTCTGGAAAGTAAAAGTAAGGGAGAGGAGAAATACTTTCAGATTTGCAAGA